ATTCAGGGTCTAATTCTGAAACACATATTGAGAATTCCCTTCCTAAAACAAGTAATCTCCAAAGGCCTATTGTGTAGTAAAGTCCTATTCATCTGAGCAGGATAGCAGAACTAAATCACAATCACCTTGTGTATAGTGTTCACAGATAGCATGCCCTTGTTACCAAACCCACTCCGTTAGTAGAACTTGGCTTAAGTGTTCTGACATAGAACCACACATTATCTTCTGCGAGTGATTTAACCCTGGTTATTCCTAGGTCATTTTTCTCCTGGAGTAGCCACTTTTTTCTTGAAGAAATTTTTTGAACATCTGTATACTCAGTTTTTTCCTAGGATAGCAGTGACAAACTGAATATCTGTACATGGCCATACAGCACTCTTGACAAAAACAATAAAAGACAACACAAATGTGATTCCTAGCCATGAAATCTACTTTGTTCTTCCTCTAATTCACATCACACTTTCCATTTTTTCACCAGGCATCTGTAGAAATTTCATGTCTTTAAAGGACTAGGCTTCACTAAGCTCATTCCTTAATAAATTTAATTTGAAAAATGTTAGCATTGAGTATTATTTGGCTAAGGCCTAAAGACCTGTTGAGATATGTTGGTGTACTGTGTAGACCCTGGCTGTGAATGTCAACAGGGGTTTTGTGTGTGTAAGAAGTGATGTTCCACGCAACCAGCCTTTTCATACCTTTTCTATAATTAGTCCTCCCATCAAAGAGCTCTGTGTTAGTCTTTTCATTTCAGAAAATTTCCTGTGCATACTGCACTGGGTGAAAAAGAAATGCAGGCTTTTATTTGACATCTCCCTTCTAGCAGAGTTTCCCCCCAAGGATCATTTAGGGTCACAGTGCCTCGAGATGAGAGATCCCATGCTTTTCTCCATCCCAGCTAACTCCAATGGAGGGAGTAGAAAAAGAGAAGTGATGGACTCATGCAAACTCCTCCATACTTTTTTGTTATGTTGCTAATAACATGCTCTATGATCTTCTGCACTATAAGCTGAAGGAAGATTGATCTGCTTAAGAGAACTAATAGAAAGCTAGAACATTCAGCACCTTGCCCATATTAACATCACTTCCAACATCAGGTTTCATAGTTTCTAGGGTCAGAAGGGACCTGAGTAGATCATCTAGTCTGACCCCCTGCCATGGCAGGAAAGATTACTGGGGTCAAACAACTTACATAAATTCAGGTGAACAAAGCAACTTATTGTCCTGACAAGTAATGAGGTACACAATGAATCCTTAACAAATATATGTCCAGATGCCACAGCAATCCTTCTAGGTGAAGCACAGACAGTCAAAAAACCTGAGGCAGAATTGATTCAATCTAAACAGCTTCCTCAAAGACACGTAAATTGAACTGATAACCAACTGCACTAACATTCAGTTTTCACTCGGGAAAGCCAGGGGGAAGCCTGCACTGACCCTGGCCAGTAGGCAGGTGGCACTAGAGTTTGTATCCCAGGTTGCTGGTCATTGCCAGCCCAGTCAAGTGGGGCCTCAATTAGCTCCCCAGTACATGCCCCCAACCCCCTGCTGTCCCCCCCCCCAAAGGGGTTGAGGAGCCCCCTGTCCAGGAGCTGGCCCACCTTGGGGGAGCATCCCTCTCAGGGGGGTTCCCCAGCTCAGGCAGCCCTGGGGAGCTGAGGGAATTCTTCCTCTCCCAAACCCCCAAACTGCTCGCTTCAACCCTGTGAGTCTCATGGATAGCCCAGGGCAGCCTCAGGGAGAGGAAGGAAATTCTTCTGCTTCCCTGTAATTGGTTTTGACTCAGACTCACAGCAGCTGAGGCAAAACTGACTGTGGAGGAGCAGGAGAATTGTCCTCCATTCCCTCAGGCTGCCCTGGGCTATCTATGAGACTCCTATCACAAGCAGCTGTGGGGTCTGGAAAGGGGAGAATTCTCCTCAGCTCCCTTGGGCTGCCCTACCGCCTCCCCAATGCCTCTATGCTGTGCTGCTTGGGCAGCACCTGGCCACGAGGACTTCTTCTCCCTCCCTCCTGTGGTACCAGCTGAAGCAATCATCATCTAAGGGGGGGGGGGGGATTTCCCTCAGCTCCCCAGGGCTGTGCCCACTCGGCTATGGGTCCCCTGGCCAGGATGGAGGAAGTCCCCTGAGATGGGGACTCCCTGGTGCCCACAACTGCAGGGCCTTGGGAACTCCTTCCCCCTCCCTCCTGTTGCAACAGCTTAGGCAAGGACCTGTGCAGGGGAGGGGGAGGTGGGGAACTCCCCCCAGGTCCCCAGGCTGCCCCTGGCAAGGGAGGGGGGCTGCTAAGGGTCAAAAAGCCCCCACCAGAGGGCCTCTCTCTCCCCCTGACGTACTATATAGACCCTGACTAGTGGGGTCTGGAAGACTGTTCTCTCCCCCCCGCATGAGCTGATGGACGCAGGCAGGAGGTAGGCTAGGGAGCAGAGGGGCAGGGCAGTCCTTGCTCCACTGGAGCTGGGGGACTCTGTGTTAACCTGAACCAGGAAGAGATCTGGGACAGAAGTTCCGTAAACCGTTTGACCTAAATCTGTTCAGTCTGATACTACATCCTATCAAGTTTATCTTAAATTGGTTTTGGCCATTTTGAAAGCAGTTTATGTACATTGAACTTCTGTTCTGTTACAGCTTTAAGCGAATTTCCAACCACATAAACTGGTTTATGTGTAACTTTTGTCCCTAGCCCAAGGGAGATGCTTTTGAAAATACTGGCCTGTGTGACTTGCCTAGCTTCTCTCTCCTGAGTCTGCTGCAGCATCTGTTCCCTACATGTGAAACACATGCCCTCTCTTGATGTGACACACAGGTGGCCTGTTCTCTGTGAAGTTCATCCTGTAGACACTTCTTTCAGTGAAGACTATTAGTGCAAATGTCATTATTTATACACAATAAAGTAATTCTACATCAGTGAAGGACAATTCTGTCTCTAGGTCATCCAAGTTTTTCCTATCATCTCACACTAACTGCTGTCACCTTCTTCAGAACAGCAACAAGCACATTGTAGCTAATTAGCAAATACTGTACAAAAGCAATATTTCCTTATCTGCATTCTGGTGCTGTAGTTAGAAGACAGCCTTAAGTCTTTTACCAAAACTTCAATCTCTGTGACTTCAGAGCCAATTTTTATTATCTCATGACACAATGGCTATTGGAGACTCCAGTCCTACTTACCCTGTGCTTACCAAAGTTGCCCATTAATGACCGACTATGGGATTTTTTTCCACTTTCTTTTATGTCTGAGTTCTGCAAAAAAGAAAAGTGCACAATGAACACATTGTTCCTCAAACCATCTCACGAATTTTTTTTCTCTTTTTTCCAGTCTTCCAGGGCCTTTAAAAACATGTATTTTTCAACATGCTACAGCTATTTTTTTAAGGGACATTGTATGAGAATACATTACACAAAGGAACAGAAATTAAAGTGAAATTATTAAAGTCTAAACCCAATGCGATTAGTAATGAACATACATTTAAATGTGCAAATACAATATACAATGTTTTTATTCCTACATATTATTTGTGGCTTGGCAATTGGCTGATAGTAAAGGAAAATAGAAAACTAATGACACAACAGTAGTTTAAATCAAACTTAATAAAAATAAGAACAGAGACATTTTTTCTCTCAACAAGCATTCTGATGGTGAAACTAGAGCAAGGCAGTATTTATTCATACTAGCTGACGAACCTATACAGACTGAATGTAAGAGTCATATTCATCATTAAAATAGATTCCAAATTCCTTTCTTCTTTGCTTATAACATGCAAATATATAATACTTCCCTCCATCCCTCACTTAATGCCAATACATAAGTATTGCTGCCACTTTATCTCCCGCTTGTTATTTCTCTGTGGTGGATGGATGAAGAAACCCACATCAGCCATTCGAGAACTGGTGGGGTCAAAAGAGCAGCCTACAGCCAGTATCAGAGGTGCTGTATGGTCTACAACAGTGGCATCACCTAAGGGAAGAATCAGATACTTTACCCTTTGATTTGTATTGTGTGGTTCTTTTAGACCAGTGACCCTGAGGTGCTGTAAGATTCTTTGAAGGGTGCCATCGGATGGCATGCAATATGAGCACTGTTAGGTATGCAAACACCTACACATGATTCACAATATAAATCCAGAGACTTCAGACAGGAATCCATAGTATCAAAAACATTCCAACCCATTGTAGTCTTCCTGAGTTATTCCTGATAAATCAGTTGCTGTATTATTTTTCCATAGGCAAAAAACAAGTTAAAGTTAAGAGCTGGAATTTTCTAAGGGGTGCTTTGAATCTCCTGAAGGATTTCTAGAGTCTAAGGAGCAGTGCCTTCAGTCTAAAAAGGTTGAGAACCAATGTTGTAGAGCAATTGATCTTCTGGCAACCGTACTACAAAGGGCCAGTTTATGCTTCTTCTTACTCTCAGTTTGCATTGGTATAATTTAGTTAGTACTGATTCCATTTTCACACCTAAGCAAATTATAATTAAGTCAAATTAAATTAATGGACTTTCATCTGTGCAACAACAGTGGCCTTGATCTTTCTTTGGCCTTGGTCCCTTATGTCACTGCAGAAATGATCAGGATTTTTTTTTTTTTATATATCCATTTAAGAAAGCCAGGTGTCATTGGTGCAGGATGCAATTACAGTCAAAACCAGAAAAGTAAGAGGTGCATCTACAATTTTTTATTCCACCTTTTTCAGGCCAGGAACTTGAACCTCAAAACTTCCACAGCCCATTCATGTGCTTTGGCCCCTACACTATGGAGCAGCCTTCTGTGCTTTCCTGTCTCCAGCTCTCCTACTGAAACTGTTCTGTAATCAGAAGCTAAAGAGAGGATAAAGGACTGAGGTTCCAAGTTCCAAGGATGCTGTGTCATACTCTTTACAGGCAAATGCTCTTAACACAGGGGCAAGTGGCTCTTCTGGAATAAGACAACTCCCCTTGCTTTGATCCCAATGCAGAAAGGAATCTTGACAATCTTTATGGGATAACATAACCATTTCCTACCAAGCTCTAGTCATCATTTCCAGTTGTGTGAAGTGAGTACAGAGTCAGCATAAAGTGAAGATACCTGTGTAAGTGAATGAAAAATTCTGATAGGATATCCTTTTACCTGTATATAATTTGCATATATGCAAGGGATATAGTAAGAGAATAGTATATTGGGCTAATCAAATATAATTATAATTGGTCCTAACAGAATAGCTCATGGTTTACACAAGTGTAGCTGAAACTTGATTTGGATCTTGAATTCCTCTCCAGCAAAGAATACTCCTGAATTACCACCAGCACTGCTACCGGCAAATTGTAATTATTCTGAATGGTTAGGCAGCTAACTAGTTCATTTTATTCCCATTAGCATTATGGTGGGTTATCTCTCTTCTTTCAAGCAGACTTTGACTCAATTATTACACAGGTGAGCAGGTACCACATGTTATATTAACTAGAGGCCAATGCCTTTTGTAGGTCCTAGTAATGAAGCCATCTGCAAGCAATAGTTAGGTGCTTTAACGAGATAACGGCAGGGCTGTGGGAGGTCTCTTCAGCAAAAGAAACAGATGCACAAGATGACTCAGGAGCTGAACTGGAATTACAAGCAATGGAATCCAGGTGGACTAAAAAGTGATCAGCTGTGTAAAAAAAAGAAACATCAAAACAAGACAAAACAAACAACAACAAAAAACAATCAAAAGGCCTGCAGCATTTGAAAGTGCAGGTAACTGAGATGATAAAAGAAAAAATCTCTAAAACACAGGCAGATGCAGAGTGTGCTTGGTAGGCAGCCACAGAAATCCTTATTTCCTCCAGTACAGAGATATCCCCTGGGACATCAATCTGATGATCACTGGCAGTATGTAGCTTTGCTGTCAGAAGACACATCCCTTCATCTGCCTGAAGAGCAGCCAGAAAACCTAAATTTGTTGAAATGTATTTCCCAGCATTTACAGTATGAGTTCACGTACTTCCAGTTATTCAATATACAGCTATGGGTTGGAATGCATTCTCTATTATTCATTATGGGCTGTTTAGGCTGTTCTTTCTCCTCCAACAACTAACTTGGTTATTGTACCTCTACAAAAGGTTTACAGAAAGCTGCTCCAAATAAAATACAAAAGGGAAAATGACACGATGGTCAGGTCATGATCATTAAGTGATTAAAATATTTTTGCTGTGGACAGGATCCTCATCCTTTCATGAGTTAGAAATATTTACACAGATTTGATACAAAATGTCAATTACAATTTTTGAAGCAAGTTATAGCTATATAGATAGATAACAAAGCAGTTTGCAAACACTAATAAATCCTCAAAAACAGCCTCTTGTAAAATAGGAGGGTATCATTAACCTTAGTACTGATATATCTCAACAGCAGTGAAACAAGCAGTTCTGCTGAAGTGCCCCTGAATCTAACTTGAACCTCCCCGGCAGTGCACTTCTGAGGCAGCGCAACAAAGGTGGCATCCAGCTACCTTTCCAGCTCAATGCCATTTTTGTAGTTTTGTAGCATAACTTTGCAACTAGGATAACATTTGGTAAAATTAATGGCATTGAAGATATGCAATTTCAGAGAATAAAATTTGACCAATAAACAAAAGGAAATGGTAAAGCTTCACAGTAGATCTCCTTTTGGCACAACAATCTAATGAAAGTGATTAGGACAGAGGTTTACAGAGATAACATATACCCGAGCTGGCTAATGAGTTACTGAATTACCAAAACATAACAGAGTTCAAATTCCTCTTTTCAGTTTTCTCTCTTCTATGTAGGTCAACAGATTACATCAATTAAACCTCTAGTTATTTCAACTTATTACTGTATTGTTGAGCTTGACGCTGCTAAAAGGACCTATAAGCCACACAGTCAAATACAGTACAGTTTCAGACAAGCACAGGAACAAGGTAAAAGTTTAATAGAGGCTATAAGGCGGCAATTACTCATATCAGATTAGTGAACCAGCAAAAGTGTTCCCTAAAATTTTGTATTATTTGTTGTCAGCAGTTCACCAAAAGGTCTGGTCCTTTTCCCCAACAAGGGAGAGTGCGAGGTGTCAATAACTTGGCCCACGGACAGGCTTCCCTAGGGGCAGAAAAACAGGTAGACTGGAGGGCACAAGGAAGAGCAGTGTGGCAACCCCCATCACCCCTGCCTGGAGACAATGTTTCTGCAACAATTTTTCAGTGCTCTAGTGGGTGGTCTGTGAACGTTATGTATATCTCTCTTGATTATATTGTTGTAGTGCTGTAAAGTGCTATAAGTACACCTCTGTACATGGCTTTAGGCTTAGTTTCAGGTTGGGGACAGCAGAAGCACTTCAACTGGTATTGTGAGATATTGGTATAAGCTATTATACTGTATTTGTTATGTTGGCATGTTCCTATATGGGCATGAACCTAGCAAACCTTACAACTATAACCCTTTTTGGTTCATTGTTAAAGTGACTGAACTTATATGTCCAGCTACTAGAGCAGCCAGCTAGAACAGTTACATTATAACAGTCGATACAAAATCCTAAGTGGTAACTTCCGCTGCCCTTTTCAAACCAGTTGAAAGTTATATCTGTCCACAGCCTCAGACCTGGTTACTTCCCTTGCTCACAAAAAATCAGATTACCAGAGAATCACCTTGCTCTAAAGAGGGCTTGAGTAGCTGAAATCTGATTACTTTTAAATCTTGTGTGTTCACCCTCTTCAATCCCACAGGAAAGATTGTGATATGTGGTGGCCTTTGGGGGAAGACAACTGTTGCAGTTGTGGGATGAGGTAGGGAGGAAGGGATATATGAGAAATCTTAGCCACAGGCCACAGGACAAAGTGGGGCTTTGCTCTCCTCTTGTAAATTCACCAAAGCCGATAGGCCTTAGTTTGGGTAGCTGTCCCCAAATTCTGTTAGTCCTTTTTCTCTCCACCAAGCAAGGCTTCCCCCCTTCTCATGAGCATTTACGTCTGAAGCATTAACCTAGGCAGAATGAAGCCCAAGAGCTCCTTATCTCTGTGCCAGCAGAGAGTTCAAGGAAGACACTATACTATAGGGGAGGGACTGTACTAGACTCTTATTGCCAGCCTGCACTGAGTCCTGGTGGAGGAAAATCCCAATTCCAGAAGGGAAATATTCCTCACAGAACAGTCTACTCCTAATTCAATTCAATAGATCATTGTTTCCAGTTTCTGATGAATACAGTGATAAATTTTCAAGTACAACAGGGGACTAAAGAGCACAATGTAAAATACTCTTAGCACCAGCACATTTTGCTGTTTCTTAGAAATAATTTGGGGATAGGTAGAAAAACAAAAAAATGACCAAATATAGTTTTGTAAAATGGTTATAAAAAGTTCTGGAAATAAAAAAGTGTGTTAAATTTGAGCTGCTACAGGCATAAGCTTGTAACAGTAAATTTTACAAGGTAGATGCATCTGTTAATGTAAAGAGTGAAAGAGAGAGATAAATAGTGTGCTGTCAATTACAGCAGATTGAGAAAATCGTAGATTTCTTGCAGAAAATGTGCAGCGTGCACAGGTAAAGTATAATTTTTCATGGAATATGCATGAACTATTACTGATCTTGGCAAATGGGTCCCAGTAGTTCCATGAATATTCTGTGTAAAATGTTACTTTACCTGCACACAAGCCACATGTGCGGCAGGTAGGCACACACCATAGGCAGCAGAAGGCCAGGGCTAATGGAGATTAGCCCCCCAAATGTAGGGCAGTGGTGGAAGCACAGAGGGCCACAGGGTCACAAAAACACACCCTGCACACAGCCACGGTCACAGCCCAGCAGCATGTGGAGCACTGCCCATCACAGCAGGCAAATCTGTGAAGGGGATGGAGCATGGGAGTTGCAGATCAAGGCCCCCACACTAAGGGAGGGAGGGAGGCAGAGGCAGGGGCAGGGGCAGGGGCAGGGGCAGGTGCTGGGGTGAATGGAGCCCCAAGACAGGTCATCCAGGGATGCAGGGAGGCTCCCACCACTGTGCTCATACCAGGGGAGGCACAGGAGGCACGTGCCACCTGGATTTGGCAGGGTGCTACTGTGGGCTGGGCTCTATGCCCTGAGAGCAGTGCGATGTTAAGTGCCTGCTGCCACCAGGCTGCGCCATGCCTCCTTCCCTCCTGGCAATGGTGTTGCACGGCTCCTGGGGCAATGGCAGTGGGGTGCAGAGCCCAGTCTGCAGCAGCAGCCTGCCTCTGTCCCATGCACAAATCCAGGGGTTATGTATGCCCTGCATCTCCCCTAGGGTGGACGCAGTGGTGGGAGCCCCCTGCACGTCTAAACAAGTTGCCCAGGCTCCGTCCATCCCATGACCTGGTCTGGGGCCCCATTCACCCCAGCCCCTGCCCTTGCCCCTGTCCCACTCCCTCCTTCACTGTGGGAGCCTCAGTTTGGCCTTGCTCATGTCCCTTCCCTCTCCCCCCGCCCCTTCCCCTCCACAGACATACCTACGGGGGGGGTGGTGGTATACACTCAGCTTCCCCCAAATAATATTTTCTCCCTCCACTTACAGCACACACACACACTGCCCCGCCACCCCAAAAGTCCCCAAGCCCTGCCCTCCGAACCCCCTTCTCCCCTCTGCTCCCTATATATTTACCTTCATTCGGCAGCCTGGCTGCATCCTGGCCACATCCCTGGCAGCCACTTGCAGGCTGTGAAAGTGCAGGTTTCCCCTTGCAGGCTGGAATGCTGCCAGCCTGCAAAGGAAAACATGCTTTCACCTTTTTCCTGGCACAGGCTCACAACCCTTAAAAATCACAGTTTGAGGCTAATTTCACAGTATCCACACAGTCCACAAAATCACAATTTTCTCAGGTCCCTAATTATGGGGTGCAGTCTGGATAAGTTAAAAGAGGTATCAATAGTAAAAAGGAAAGCTTTTATTTTACCTTTGTCTCAATACAAAATGAGTTTCTTGGCAGTCACATGCAATATGTGTTCATGTTGAATTAATTGGTTTAATGGTTTCAAGGAAGTAAAAAGTGAATACCCTCATGATCTGTGGGAAAATACGATGAATAAAAGAAGCAGTTTTGACTTCTTTTTAGTGATGGAACTTAATTAGCATAAATGTATCTTTAGACACTGTGATTTATAAAAAGGCTTTTCTAATTGTAATTACTGAGGCAGAGATTGCTCCACTGTTAAAAATCTACATATCTAATATTATTGGGAGGAACCAAATGCTGGGCAGATATTAAAAAGTAGCCAGGAATTGATCCTGACCCTATTAGACATCAATGGTTTGCTTACATTTGCAGAATATGGACCAGAAGACATTAAAATCGCATAAAACAAATGTTGACACTTCTGAATGCTTATTTGCATTTGGCGAAGAGCAGTTACTTTATGGATCTGACTTGAAGCCATTTAATGAAGCCATTGCAGAGTAAAGATACTCAATTCCATGTATTTAAAATTCCTTTAAATGTCACTGCTGTTTTAAATGCACATATTGCAGTTCATTTTGATAAATAAAACACTATCTGGGTTTTCCTTTCATAAAATAAAGAAGTTCCTGCCATCTTTTAAGAAAAACTGGCTTTGTATCTTTTAAAGCATAATACATGCAAAAGCAATGGAAAAGCTTGCATTAATATTAAAAGTAACTTTTACCCATTCTAAAAGTAGGTCATCATCAGAAATGGCACTCATTTGATTTTTGTACCATTCTGAATTGTAGCTCATGCTGACATGCACTTGCATTTGCAAGCAGTAAATGGATTGTGATGGCATCAGGACATCAGTGAATAACAAATACTAATACCTATTAACAATAGTCTCAGTATGAAAATTCAGGGTACTTTCACTGCAATTCACTTGGGCAAATAAATACCCCCCTCATAAATGTTTGCCAAATTAGGTCCTAAGGTACTAAGGTCTACTAGCACTAATTTCTAGCCCACTGTAATATTACTAGAACAGTCAGAAGATATTTAGCATTGCATACAGACATACACAGAGCTCAACATTTGCAAAATAAAGTTTCCCTTCTTTTGTTAACTCAAAAAGAGGGGTGGATGCTACTCTTAGTTAAATCAGTGGTAAAATGGCCATTAATATCAATGATTAAATATTAGATCCTTAAAAGATGGAAATGTATTTTGTTTATAGTATAGAAGAGAATATAACTAGATAGAAATGGAAGTTATGATGCCTGGAATGAACTCTTACCTCTGACTGTGTGTTAATTTTGGCAAGCCCTTTGACTTCTCAATATTTCAGTTTACTTCTGGTAAATGGTTACCTACTTAATCCATCAAAATATCTGAGGTTTAATCAAAAAAGGCTGAAGGCTCGATATATATGCTAGTAATTGTGATTGTGTATTTTAACTTTTTGACTAATTTAAGTAAGTAGAATCTTAACTACACAAATACCAATTTTATGGGGTTTGTTTTTATTTAATTCCTAAGGTTATGTCCTCTTATTTTTCCAAAGTTTAGAAGAAAAAAAAATGTTAAGGACAGTTACACAAGTGGAAATATGTACCGGGTGCTGGTGGCAGTGAGACCCCCCACTCTCCCCGAGCTGTACTAAAAGAGGAATCAGTTTGACCTGGCGCTCCCAGAGTATGTATAGGGTGCATGTTTCAGCGGGGCTTTGTGGCGCTTTTATCTAGTAGCTGATTCAATCAGCTACTAGATAAAAGCGCCATAAAGCCCCACTGAAACATGTGAGCTATACAGACATTGGGCAAGCCAGGCCAAACTGACTCAATTTCTCTTTCAGGCATGCACTGTGCTTGGCACGGATGTACACCAAGCTGAAAGTAAAACGTTAGGTTTCTTTTTCCATGTCTGTAAGCACCCGATGATGTCAGTCACTCAAACAGTTCTCCATATATATGCCAATATAATGTGAATAGGAAACTATCAAACTGACAGTATATACTGATAAGACCATATACAAGTTCCTGATTATTTCATATTCTGTAAATGGGTTCAGTCTTGTCAAGGGCCCACTGCTGTGATCGGATCTAACAGCACTGGCTTTTATGACCATCTAGAGTCTCAGTAATTCCAGTGGACTTTGTCAGAGGAAGAGCTCATACCAGCCCATCATAGTGTCTACAGTTATATATGGTCATTGCTAGTACAGATAGTTATACACTTTACATCTGACTGTCTCAGAATCCCCTATAAAGGTATTTTTTTCTGGAGTTGTTTCCAGATCTTTATTCTAGATAAAGTAACTTTTCCAAGGTTTATTTACAAAACTGCACTGAATTTTATTCCAAAGCAAATCTGCAGCTGTCAAATCTGCCACAACAAATGGAGGAGAAAATAGTTTTTGTACCTGTTTCAGGTTTACATTTAAACCCTCGTGTGTTGCCTTTAACAGTGCTGTCACAGTGAAGCTGTCAGGATCCTCTTTATCCCTGATTTGAGATTCTTTTATCAGCGATTCAAGTTTCTTCCTTATAAAAGATTCTATCTGGTGCTCAGTTGTGCCATTACTCTGAAATGAAGTAACAGATCCTGTTAAAATCTATTCAATCATGCCAATCATTTTTGAAAATGGCAAATAGACTGTGGTGGATACTTCCAGAAAGGAACAACCTATTAATGTTTCCAGTGTTTCCTCTCAACTTTTCCAGGAACAAGCAGAACCATACATTTTCCATTGAAAGATATAGCAACTCATCAGACCATCAGAAACCATTTACAACACCACAAAATGTGTTTCTCTCTGTGATTTTACCCATTTGGATATAACATTAATAATTACCTACCGTCTTAGAGAGGTGAGGAGAATTACCCACCTAATGCATTTGAGTAGCCCTCTGAAAAGGCCTGTGTTCAGAATTATTAGAAATCTTTCTCTGTGGGATCAGACAGAAGTGATGTTTTATTACCAGGGACCTGGGTTTTCCATTTGCCACCAACCCCCACCACCAAAAAAAAACAACCCTGCAATAAAAAGCAGATTTTCGCCTTTAAAGGAGAAAAAAACCCGGAAAACTGAAGGTTTCCCCTTGTAGGCTGGTGGCATTCCAGCCTGCAAGGTGCTGCTTGGGGCTGGGAGGAGAGGAATACAGGGGGCACCAGGTTTACATGTGTGCATACACACATGTATGTGGCAGCCAGGCAGCGGGCTAGAGAGCAGCTCCCACATCTCCCTCCAGGTAAGTCGTGTGTGCATTTGGGGGGGGGATAGTATGACTGCCAACTCTGTTTGAATCTACTCCAGAAGATTTCCAGAATGCCAGCGTGCCCACAACACACAACACGAATGTGCCCACGTGCTTGTGTATATATCAGGTATGGATTACAGTGCACAGACTTTATGTCAGGAAGGCAGATACACATTTCTATTACATTTTAAAAATCCACTGGACTACTGTATAAATGAGATTCAACATTTAATATTTATTTTAACAAATGCACTATCATTTATCTCCCAGGTGACTATCAGTAGTCTTCTGGGTATTTATATCTAATTCCTGGAGACTCCAGGGGAATCCTGGAGGGTTGGCAACCCTAGGGCACAGGTGATGCACAGCAGGGTGGGGGGACACAGGCAATGTGTGATGGGGGTGGGTGGCATGTGCCCCCTGCAATTTTCTGTGCCCATTGTAGGGCATAGGGTGCAGGACTGCAGCCTAGCCAGATCAGCTCCAGGAAGGATCTGCCTCGGTGGCCCAGCAGGTGGTACCCGGTACAGGAGGGAGTGCCACGCTGTCATTGCCACCAAGGTGAGGCACAGCAGTGTTGGTGCAGAAGCAGAATTGAGTTGTGACCCCTGCTGCTGCCAAGCAGGCAGGGTGCTCCCTCCCATGCCAGGTCCTGCCCACGGTGGAGGCAGCTCCTGCCCAGAGTTACACCAGCCAGGCTGCAGCCCCATGCCCTGTTGTCAGTACAGAAATCGGGGTGGGGGGGAGGGCACGTGCCCCCACAATGCACTGTCTGTATCCCCCCAACCCCCATACATCACCTATGCCCATACCCCTCGATCCTCACACAACCATCCCCTTCCTCACACACTGTGGGGCTAGGGCCTGGGGGTAGGGGGCAACAGATTGGGAATGAAGGGCACCAGCAGGGATGGAGGTGGGGGACTGTGGGCTGGGAGTGAGGGACACCAGCAGAGCCACAGGGCTGCGGGTTGGGAGTGAGAGGCAACAGTACGGCAGAGGCAGGGCACCACCATATCAGAGCTGCTCAGCACCACAAAGCGGGGGGGAAACACAGCTGCAGCTGAACCCAAGCCCTGGTGAGCAAAGGGGACAGGGTGAGCTCTGATTTAATAAGATAACAGCCAAATTCAAACACCAAAATATATAGATATTTAGAATTATTTTATTATAATGACTGAGGCTCTGGTAGGCTTCCAAACTGCTTTAAAACTGTAAATATATCAATAAAATATTGTATTCAACTCATACTTATTTATATAGTGGGATTTCATTCTAATCACAGAAAACAAGGATTTGGGGGTTTTTAATCAAAGAATTTTGGATTTTTTAATCAGAGAATTTTGGATTTTTAAACAGAGGAAACAGATCCCTGTTTATTACCATTAATAATAGTGAATACTTATACTATGGTAGCAACTACCAGGTGCACTGCGCCAGGTACTGTACTAACACAGAACAAAAAGATGCTCCCTGACCCCAAAGTGCTTCAAAGCCTTTTTGATGTAAAAAGCAGTGGCCCCACACACAAACAGAAATCTCTCTTGATTTCTATGATAAAGAGGACTCAGAGCTCTTCCCCACACTGGAAGATGATGAGATGCACCAGATCTGCAGAAGACAAGAGACCACCAGCACCACCCACAAGATGTCCTCACTAACACTAAGGGCTCCCATTGCCTGGTAACACACCTGCTGTTCCACATAATAGGAGGATAATGAGGGAAAGTTACTGATCACGGATAATGCCTAGTTACTGGTCCCTGATCAATCATTCGTGATCATGAACTGCTTGTTATAGTTGGGGGTATACTGTTAGTTGTGTTCAATTGTAAATCTTCTCTTACATCCTAACCATAAGGGTTGGCAGGACTGGGGCATTCAATTTAACGTACTAACCTGTACTGTAACAGTTTTTCCTTACTGAGCGTAACAGATTTCAATGCTGCAGGAAATACGGATAAAATATAACTTCTTGTGTCACTTAATGAACTTAGTTTTCCATATACCCAAAGCAAAATTATATCTTTGTATGAAACACTCGTGTAGAATATATAGCTTAAAATGCATCACATTACATTGTGATCTGAAAGTAACCTCAAAACCAAAGTTTTTTAAAAATGAAATGAATCAGGTTTTCTCCTTTAGCATTCAGTATCTCTATGCTTATATGCCTAAAAGATCAGTCTCTTTATGGAGTACATGAAGAATCACAGAGAACTTTGCTGACTACTTGACATCTTAGTGGTGCCCTGTGAATAGAATAGAAAAAAAGAACTGGCAGGAACATCTGGTCTCTCTAAATGATTTCAGTGGGGAATTTGAATTACCTGTGAAGTGATTCCCAAGTCAGCCTGAATTTTTTTATTCCCAACAGCAGATGCAAATGATGAAGAAGAAAAACAGAAAGTTTGGTATAATAAGTTCTTGCAAAACAGTCAGTATAAAGCAGAACTACATGGGGAAAGTTGGAGTGGGAGTGTAGGTATGGGTGTGGGTGCCTGTGCACACTGTAAAGAGAAAGCAAAACCCTTGCATCAGATTCAGACCTGAGATCAATGGAGTTACACCTGCTGATGTGAAATTTGAACTTGACACTTCCTATTTGTTTCTACTACAGACTATTTTCTTCTTTGTTTAAAATTTTAAACCAGTGAAGCATGACTGCTTCTGGGCTGGAACATCTAGCAGCTGCAAATAATGCTATGGAAAGGGCTAACTGAAGGAAGAGCAGGGAAAAAAATCAAAGAAGTCCAAAAATCAAAGAGGCGGGGGAAAGTAGTCAGGGGAATCAAAAGAAAAAAAAAGGAAAAGGAGATAGGGAAACTGATAAGGAATTAATCATTAAAGGTGCTTGTACAATGCAACAAAATTGGGCTTTAAAGTGACTTAATTGCCCTTTTGCACCACTCTACTGGTGTTGCTATTTACACATTCAGTGGCATATTACGCTTTAATAGCATTGCTATCTAGCAATTCAGCAGCGTATTTCATTCTAAATGACTGCAAGGTAAAACTCCTCTGAAGTATTTTAGTTTGCTATGTAACAAAGTGCCAGAGCGCATGGGGCGCTGGAAGCCACCACGCTCAGAGAAGCTCAGGCTTGGTGGGCTTCCAGTGCCCCATGAACCATCCCTGCTGCTTTATCCCAGTGCCAGCATACCCAGTCATCCTCCTGCCACCTTGCCACTCTACCCCAGGGGCAAGCCAGCCATTCCCGGTCAGTCCCAGGCAGCAGGAAGGTGGCAGGGATGGTGCACAGGGTGCTGGAGCCTACCTGCCTCTCCTGTGGCAGGGGGGTGAGCTGCCGGTGAGCCAAGTATTTCCCTGAGCTGTGGGGGACCCTGGTCCTTCCCTCCATGGTGGTGGTGCCCCACAGGTGGCATCCACCCACAAGTACCCATCCTGGGCAGTCCAGAGGGGCACTGCCACTGCAGAGGGGAGCACTGGGCCCTGCGCTCGTGCAGGCAGGCTCGACTGAGGTGGGGCGGGGGGGAAAAAAAGCAGCGAGGAACCTTTTTTTATTTTCTCTCTCGAAGCCTGCCTGAGCTGTACAGGGCCTTGTGCTTTCCTCCATGGCAATGGCACCCGCTGGGACCACCCAGGTGTGCTGCTAAGTGGCCAGGTGCTGCCCAGAAAGCACTGCCACCATGGAGGGAATCACTGGGCCCCACATAGCTCAGGCAGGCAGGCTTCAAGACAGAAAAAAATAAAAAAGATCAGGCTCCTCACTGCTTTTTATTTTTTTCCTTTCAGTCAAACTTGCCTGCATGAGCTACTGCCATGTTGCACAGCCCCTGAGCTATCTGGGGCCCAGTGCTTCCCTCCATGGTGGCGACACCCCTCAGGACCACCCGGGCTGGGTGCTAGCAGGTGGGTGCCACCTGGGGGACACAGCCACTGCAGAAAGAAGAACCAGGGTCCCCTGCAGCTCAGGGACTGCTCAGCCTGCTGCTGGCAGCTCACCTGCCCTGCCATGGGAGGGCAGGAAAAACAAAAAAACAAAACAGGATTGGGCCCCCTCACACCTGTATATGCAACAGGAGTTTAGTTCTCCCCCAGTTGAAACAGTGGGGTTTTAAATTACGCAATTAAAAACCCACCAATTAAAAACTAGCCATTTCAACTTAGGGAAAACTAATCCCCCATCATCTGTACAAGCACCCTAAAAGTACAGTTGAGGTGTGGAGTTCAGTACATCTTGTGTCTCTCTTACCTTTGGCCTGTAAATTGTCTACCTCACCTGAAAGCTTTTCACGGTTTGAGCCAATCTTCCTTTATGCTTGCCAGTCAGTCTAGCACACTTTCATTAATAACAACAACATTTTCCATTCCATCCTGAGTGTCTAAAAAGCTAGGGTAGGCAATTATTTGGGTTGACGGCCACATCCACAGCTGCTCAAAGGCAGCTTCCTAGTTGAGGTACAGGTGCAGACTGGGTGGGACAGGGAATTATCTTTGAAAACTCATAGTGATCATGAGAGGTCCCAGGTGATTGGAGAAGGGCAAACATAGTGCCCATATTTATGAAAGGGAAAAAGGAGGATCCAAGGAACTACAGACTAGTCAGCCTCACCTCAGTCCCTGGAAAAATCATGGAGCAGATCCTCAAGGAATCCATTTGTAAGCACTTGGAGGAGAAAAGGGTGATCAGTCAGCATGGATTCCCCAAGGGCAAGTCATGCTTAACCAACCTGATTGCTTTCTATGATGAAATGACTGGCTCTGTGGATGTGGGGAGACCAGATGATGTGATATATCTTGATTTTAACAAGGCTTTTGATATGGTCTCCCACAACATGCTCACAGGCAAGTTAAGGAAGTACAGGCTGGATGAATGGACTGTAAGGTGGATAGAAAACAGGCTGGAGCATCAGGCTCAGAGGTTAATAATCAATGACTCAATGTCTAGTTGGCAGCCAATATCAACTGGAGTGCCCCAGGGGTTGGTCCTGGAGCTGGTTTTGTTCAATGTATTCGTCAACAACCTGGAAGGTGGCATAGAGTGCACCCTCAGTAAGTTTTCAAATGACACCAAACAGGATGGAGTAGTAGATATGCTGGAGGGGAGGGCTAGGATTCAGAGTGACCTAGACAAATTGGAGGATTGAGCCAAAAGAAATCTTGTGAGGTTCAACAAGGACAAGTGCAAAGTCCTGCACTTAGGATGGAAACACCCCATGCACCATTACAGTCTTAAGGCTATCTGGCTGGGCAGCAGATCCGTAGAAAAAGAACTGCAGGTTACAGTGGACAATAAATGAATATGAGCCAACAATGCGCCCTTGTTGCAAAAAAAGCTAATGGCATACAGGGCTGCATTGGTAGGTGTGTTGCCAGCAGGTCAAAGGAAGTGATTATTCCCCCCTAATCAGCACTGCTGAGGACACATCTGAAGTACTGTGTTCGGTTTTGGGCCCCACATTACAAAAAGGATGTGGATATATTAGAGACAGTCCAGAGGAGAGCAATAAAAATGGTTTGGGGCTGGGACACATGACTTGCGAGGACAGGCTGAGGGAGCTGGGCTTATTTAATCCAGAGAAGAGAAGACTGAGAGGGGATTTAATAGCAGCCTTCAACTACCTGAAGGGGGGTTGAAAAGAGGCTGGAGCTAGACCATTCTCAGCAATGACAGATGACAGAACAAAGAACAATGGTCTCAAGTTGCAGCAAGGAACTTGAGAACAATATGTTAGATATTAGGAAGAATTGTCTCACTAGGAGGGTAGAAAAATCCTGGAACAGGTTACCTAGAGATGTGCAATCTCTATCCTTGGATGTTTTTAAGACCTGGTTAGAAAAAACTTCGGCTGGGATGATATAGTTGAGGATGGTCTGGTTTGAGCAGGGGATTGGACTAGATGACCTCCTGAGGTCCCTTCCAACCCCAATTTTCTATGATTCTCTAATTATACAGTGGCAGGCTACAACCAGCACAGAAGCCTGAACCTGCCTGCAGCTTTAGCATGCCCCCACCTCTATTGTGGTTGGAGTCTACCTAGTCACAGGTTAGTGTGCTCTGTTCCTCCCCCTGCTAAACCAGATCTGGCAGCTGTTGGCTATGTCCACGACAACTGCCAAACACAGCCATCAGTTTGCAGGGCGGGGCTCCAGGTGCAAGGAAGGGGCAGGGCTTGCTACAGCTGCAAGCTACAACCAGCATGGAAGCATGAACCTGCCCGCAGCTGTAATAGCACCCTCTCCCCGCTTCCCCCTCCCCCCCCCCCCCAAAACACCCAGTGCCCTGACCCAAAAACTGCCAGACATGTTTGGGCAGCTGTGGAGGCAGCCAGCAGCTGCCAGGTCTAGACTTCAGGGGCAAAGCATGCTACAGCTGTGGGAGGGTTCATGCTTCTGCTTCCACACTGGTAGCAGCCCTGGTCCAGAGACAGAGAGAGTGCATGAGCACATGTGTGCAAGTGAGTGAGCACCTGGCATGTCAGGAGCAGCCCCAAACACCCAGCGTGACATGACTGCCTGAGCTGCTGCCACCAGCCCATGGGCCAAATCCTTTCACTTCGCAAGTACTCATCTGCAGGCCAAATCCACTTACTTGGTGGGCTGAATCCAGCCCACGGGCCATATCATGCCCACCCCTGGTTTAAAGTCAGGCAGCTAAATCCATATTATGTATGGATTTTCAAACTCATGTGTATACACTTAGGGCTTCTAAAATGCAGACCATTTAGTCAGATGTCCGTATATGATTATTGATACCTGACTTTAGGCATAAATATTTAAGAACTTGATTCTATATATGCAATAATAATAGTGGAATTTGTATCATTGTTGGAATAAGTAGACTGGGCTATTTCATGGTTATACACTTACATAACAGAGTTTTAACTTGCAGTCATCTTCAATTTCATCAGCACTATCCTCATCAGAGACTTCCCCTTCTTCAGCATCTGCTCCAAGATGATATGGTAGCTTCTTACCCTAAAGAAATTAGCATACAAATAGTTGTAATAAATGTAAAAGTTGGTGGTTCTACTTCCTGGGACATTTGACTTGGTATAGACATTCAAAAAGTCTGAGGCAGAATCAATCTAAGTTATGCAGTTTTCTGTAAATGGCATAGTTTAGATTGGTAGTGAACAGAACAGACATTCACCCTTTGGTGGGCGGTGCAAATCTTAGATCAGGTTCCACCATTTTTAAACCAGTCTACATGTGCTGAAATTTTGTTTTGTTATAGGTAGAGACCAGCTTCCAATCACTTATACAGGTAAAAGTGTAATGTCTGTCCCTGGCCAATCAGGCCAAATTCATGCTCATTTGTCATAGTCCCATGCAAAGTGTAAAGAGGGAATATATGATGTTAAGCTGTGAATATTCCTCATGTTGAGTGGCTCATACAAACACTGCTCAGGAGAACAGTTTATCCTGAAGACAGTAGCTGGCACTAACCAATGGTAAGTAAGAATAGTATTAGCAAAAATATCCATTTAATGGGGATATAATCTGGCAGTGCCAAGGAATTAACAGTATGCAATATTAAACCACAGTATTTTTTTAAAGTTATTGCAAAATAAAAATGAAAAGAAATATTAAAAAGTATGAAAAGAAGTAACTGTAGCTGCCGTTGCTGTATTTTTATTCAGTATACTAATTCAAGTAATTTTAGATTGTCATACAGCAGGCCACAAGCATTCTCTAAAAGCATTTGTGATACTATTAGACCTTAAAGAATAATTTAGAAAAAAGCAAATATGCTCTTCAAACTTACAGCCACAGTTACAAATATTTGTTCCCTGATGCACTTAAAGAATGAATCCATTTTACAGTGCTGGTAGAAGTTTTGCCCTGTCTCTGAACCCTGGCACAGACAGGAATTTAAAGAAGTAGTTATGGAGGTATTGACTCAGGTGTGGTTAACAGTTTAAGCTACACATATTTTTCATTAAATTCTCTCACTATCACACCACCAGCAGGTGCTCTATTGCTGATGGCAATTTAAACACTGCATCAACCTGTGTTGCTAACAAAAACTGTGTCCAAACACAGCTGTAGGCTGTGTGAATCTAGTTGGAACAGTTTCTTCATAATTGTCATCTGTTGCAAATCCTAAAGCCACTGAAGTCAATGGGACTTTTTCTATTGATTTCAGTGGACTTGGATTAGGCTACTAGCCTAGATAATCTCTCTATGCACTAGTAGCAGGTACCAAGAGGCAAGATTTCAAAAGTTCATCTATAGGTATGAACAAATGTACACTCGGAGCAGGGTCAAAAGATGAGAGGAAATTTGGTCAGGGCTGTACAGCAGCTGTTACACTGTAACTGTCACATCTACATGCATCTAGTGATATAAATGTTGCAGAACCAATGGCACTTTAACACTGCTTCATCCAGTTGACCTTTTGGCTCACTTGTATCACTAAGAATCATGAACACAAAACAGTTGCATCACAACAGCTGCAGTGTAGTCCCCAGCAGCACATCCCTCTCCCTTTTTTTAATCTGTTCCACGTGTCTGTTTTTCCATACCCTACTAGTGATTTTTGGAAAAGCCCCCCATTACATTTAATGTTTCTTATGCCATCATCCAGTTACCAATAGTAATACTATCACTGGCAATGTGACTCCTAAACAATGCAAAGTGAAAGGCATATGGGATAATATTTTACAATAGTTATGTGCCCACTGCTCTGAATTACTGGGAAAGATTTCAGAAAGGCACTTTGCTTAACTACAGATTGTTTGTGACCACTAGAAGATTACTAATCTCACCTCTTTTTCTTAAAGAGGTTTAAGAAGCTAAAAAAATTAAATAAAATTATGTCATAATAATATAATAACAGGCTGCCTCTTTTTCATATTAAGTAATAAACGGTATGGCCATATGGAATATGTAAAATTTCTGCATTCCTACGGAAGTCTGCTGAGCAGCACTATAAACTAATCTCCCTTTTGCCTGGTTTTGACAGATGTACACTAAATATTGCTGCCACTCTTTTAAATGAATAATATAAATCATTTAGACACTGATGGGTCACTATGTTGCCTGTAAGCATAAATATCATGCAACGAGAGCGAAAGATAGGCAGTGCAGGCTCCATGCACATTTTTAGTTTCTGCTTCTTGTTCTGTTATCATGTAAGAAAAAATATATTCCTAAGGGGATAACCTGAATTTCTTATCTATTCTCTCTAGATTCCACTGACCAAGGGTGAAAATACTTGGCTCCATAGTTTACATACTGAAATTTTAGAATGCTGTGTTTTTCCAGACTGGCAGCCATAAGAATATCTAGGATGACATGATTGTATAAATATAGATAGATGTCTGAGGCATTCAAAGGGCACAGCTATAGAGATTCACATCAGTTGTGTTCTTAACCTCTAAAGCCCGGTGAGTTCTCTAGAACAGAACATCATAGCCAATTTCTGGCACTGAGGTTAACTGCCTCAGTGACTAAGTTAAGAAAGCCCCCAGGTAACTTAAGTTTTGACTAGCAAAATTCACTATCAACTGCAAGATTCAAAGAACTTCTTATACTAGAGTTTTTGAAACATGTTAGACAAGCACAAGCCTCTAGGGCAGCCCTTTGGTCAAAATGTCATTGCACATGTAGTTTCCAGCAGCTTCATGCTCACCTCCAGCACAGCATTATTTAAGATGCAATCAGAAATTGAGCTGAGACTCTACTATAGCTCTGCAACAGAAGCCATGGAATGAACACATAAGGCAACTGGACAATATGGGGCAGTCAGCACAAAGGAAGCAGGAAAGTCTACTGGAACAGTGCAGATACATATGAGTGCAGTCACCGATCTGAAATGGGGGGCACAAGCCCTGGATGCTGACTAAGGAGGGATGCCAAATTGGAGGCAGAGGGGTGTATGAATGGTGACAGGGACCTGGAGTCTGAAGGTGCACTGAGCTGTGGCTAGAGTTCTCATCAGTGGCCGTGTGTAGACGAAATGAGAGTCATGTGTGCACAACACTTTAAAGCAGGCTAAATGCTTTTGCACCGCTTTAATGGTGTTGGTGTTTGCATGCCTTGGTGGCATATTTTGCATTAATTCCAGCTGCTGTAGGAAATTTGGCAGCGTAAATGCACCTTAAATGACTTGGGGCACAGCAAACTAAAACTCCAAGGAATTTTAGTTTGCTGCCCCTACAGCCATAGAGCAAAGCACCGGGCTCCATGCAGCTCAGGAGCTCTGCAGGAAGCCCTGCAGGCAGCCTGGCAGCAGCCTGGGAAGACAGGCTCTGCCCAAGAAAAGCAGCGAGCCTGATCTCCCCCACCCCGAGTCTGCCTGCCTGCCTGAGCTGTGTGGGGGCCTGGTGCTTCCCCCTGAGGCTGGGGTGCGGGCGGGTGCTGCCTGGGGGGTGCTGCTGCCACCACAGGGTGAAGCACCAGCCCCACCCCGCCCCCCACAGCCCAGGGACTGCTCCACCCACCGGCAGCTCGCCCTCCCCTCCCTGCCAAAGAGGCAGGTAAGTCAGCAGGGTGTGTGCACGACACAGGGGTTTGGATCAGCCCTAAATTGAAGCAGTGTTTTTTAAAAACCCAGTGCTTCAAGTTAGGGCCCCCGTTTTGTCTACACATGCCTAGTTGTTACTCCCCATCCCCCATAGGAGATGCTGCTGCTGCTGCAGGGGGAGGATCCTGGAGAACAGCTACTGGGTTAGCCTTGTCACAGCTGCCACCAAACTAAGGCTTCTACAATCTCATTTAACATTAAATTCTGCAGCACTGTAAAGGGTTAGCTCTGTAGTTGCTGGCGTGTGAGCCTGACAGAGGAGTCTGAGTCTTGCCCCTGCTTCACGTGACTGGAGCCTCCAGCCTCCTGCTAGATATATGTCTGGGTGAGCCCACGCTCTGCTTGTACCACCCCCTCTCCCTCCACCCATTCTCCTAGACTCACTCTCCCACACACAGACACTCTTCCCAAGGTACCAAAACAGCTAGCTACACCTCTTTTACCTTTGAACAGTTAGCTGGTGTGGTGGGGTAGGGATAGGCATTCTTCTAAAGTGGCATTTGTTGGCTATTTCTGATTGAAGGATAAAGGGCTTGACAGACCATAAGCTTAACCTAAAATAGTAGGTGTTCTTGAATTTTTGTACATGATCACTCAAACCTTAACGATACCTAGAGTGCATAAATAAAATGCCTAATGAGGAATAAAAATCAAGATGCTATTTATAGCCAAGAAATTAAATTTTAGTGATGTGATGATGTGTTCTTATCTTAACTACTGATTGCATTATCTTATCCAGGCTCACTCTATTTGTCAGTGCCACACAGAGACATAAACTATACAGTTCACCAAGAGATGTAGCCAGAGAGATCAATAGGGTGTTGAACTGAGGCAGCATAATGGATACTACTCTGCCAGTCAGTGGTCTGATTTGCCTCTCATGTACACCTTTGTAATGGCATAATTCAATTGATTTGAGTGGAATTACTCTTAAACTATACTGGTATAAGTGAGAGGAGAATCTGACTCAGTATTCAATATCACTTGGCCAATTGAGTCATATTTTAAATCCTTCAATGAAAATGATAAGCAGAGTAAAATTGATGGATGGGCACAGAGGTATAGAATTGGCTTATTACTTCCAAACAGGCTGTTGACTTAAATAATGGTTTGTATTTTCTCAAGTGATTAGCTGACTTGAATTGAATATTGTAAATGCTGTGATTTTTTTTAGTGATACAATATCAGAATATCAGAAAACAATCTGTAGTGATGATGAGTCATCAAGGCGATGAAACGATCAACAAGACTAACCGCACTTTATCATGCATTAGCAGATGCATGATGAACAGCTCCAGGGAGGTGATATTTCCCCTCTATGCAGCATTGGTCAGGCCACAGTTGGAGTATTATGTCCAGTTCAAGACACAACACTTCAAGAGGGATGTGGACTACCTCAAGAGGGTTCAGAGGAGGGCCACTTGTATGGTCAGGTGTCTATGAGGGGAGACTGAGGGACCTGGATTTCTTCTGCCTTCGCAAGAGAAGGCTGAGAGGTGATCTTGTGGCTGCCTATAAATTTATCAGGGGAAGGTATCAGGGAATAAGAGATGCTCTATTTAGTAGGGCATACCCTGGGGTAACTAGGCACAGTGGCCACAAATTGATGGAGAGCAGATTTAGGTTGGGCATTAGAAATAACTTATTCACAGTAAGGGTTGCCAGAATCTGGAACTGGCTTCCAACGGAGATGGTGCTCTCCCCTACCCTGGGAGTCTTTAAGAAGAGAATGGAAAAGCACCTGGCTGGGGTTGTCTGACCTCAGGGCTCTTTCCTGCCCAGGGTAGGGGGTCAGACTCAATGACCTACTGAGATCCCTTCCAACCCTAACATCTGTGAATCTATGAATTTGTCTCTTTTGAATACTGTCTCAGCTTTTCAGCCTAAGCAGATAATTCTGCAATCAGTAATTAGATTTTATCACTCATTGTTGGAAAAAGCCAGGCTAAAAAGAAAATGTACACCTTTCCCATGATGTATTGTAAGTAACATATGTTTAAGAAGAATGCACTGCCAAAGAACTAGAATTTCTCTGCTTTTAAGTCACTGCTATGAAGTGGCAGCTTTTAGCAGTTTTGTTGTTGTTTCTGTTTGTTTCAAGATAGATTTGTTGGGTTTTGTTTTATATTGAAACTCTATACCATTCCTTTTTGTGTTCTGAGAGGCTGAGCTTATTCTGTATGTTCAGAAGGATCTTCAACTAAGACGGTCTGATTTGCCTTTCACTTACACCTTTGCAGTCGTGTAATTCAACTGATTTGAGTGGAATTGCCCTTAAACTGTACTAGTGTAAGTGAGAAGAGAATTTGACTCAGTATTTGATATCACATTTGGCACACTGTGAAAGGAACACCTCACTGCTGCATGGGCAGCACCACACTACTTCTGCTCTTGGAGCAAGCACTGTGTCTTAGCAAAGCTCTACCTGGTGCCATATAAATATACTCCAAGACAATTCTGTGAAATTCAGATGCACTCTTTGGGCTAGGGACAGACATTACACATAAACCAGCTTAAGTGATCAGAAACTGGTTTAAACCTGGTTTGAAACATAAACTAGTTTCAAAATGGCCAAAATGAGTCTGAGATAAACCTGGTTGAATGTCGTATCATACTTAACTGATTTGGCTCAAACCAGTTTATGCAATGTCTGTCCCAGAACCCTTCCTGGTTTAACTTAAACCAGAGTCCTCCAGCAAGCCAGCATATTCTCTGAGCTGGGTCTCTGCTTCAGCCCAGCCAGGCTGGCCCCACTCCTCTGCTCCCCAGCCAGACCAGGGACAGGCAGGGGCCAGAGTCTGGCCAAAGAGAGGTTTAATTCCCCCCTCCCTGTCCCACCAGCAGAGACCTAAGCCAGGACTGCTGGGTGCTCTCGCCTCACTGTTGCAGTGGTGGGCCGGTGTGGCCCCTGAGGGAGAGGAGACAGGGAGAGGGGTTATTCTCACCTCTACCTACACTGCCCCTGGAGGACCACAGCTGGGTCTGTCCCCTGCCGCCACCATGCTCACTTTCTGCTTGGGGCAGGCGACAGTATATGCCCCCTGCTGCCCCCTCTGCTGGACACTGGAGGGAGGGGAAATAAGCCCTGTCCTTGCCCCCCCACAAGGGGCCCTGCTGGCCGGTGTCTGACCATACCCCTACCCCACTGCTGCAGTGGCAAGGGGCCAGAGCCCTTGATGGGGGCAGCAGCCCCTGTCATAGTGTTAGGGAGCACAAGCATGAGCACCTTCCGGTGGGGAGCATGGCAGACTGTGCGCAGCAACACCCAGGGCCCCAAGGGGGCTAGAGCCCTGCAAGCCTCTCCCCCCCCCACCCCAGCACTGTGGTCCATAGCAGCTTTCCCTGCCTTGCAACAATGGCCCCCCACCAGGGGGCTCATGCTCCAGTCACTCCCTCCTCACTGCTCCAGCAGCCAGGTGGGGATGGGGCCAGATGCTGCTGGCAGGGCCCCTTGGGGGAAACAGGGAGCAGAGTTATTTTCCCCTCTGCCCCTGGGGCACCACAGTGGGGTCTACCCACCAAGGCCACCGCTTGCTCTGTGTCCAGGCCATGTGGTGGAATAAGCCCCCTCCACTGGACACCAGAGGGATGTACCCACATTGCCTCAGTCCAGAGGGAATGTCTGTACTATTACAAATTAGTTCAACCTAGGCAGGTTAGACTAACCTACAAAGATTAAATCAATTCAGGCTGAATGTCTGTCCCTTGCCGTTGAAGTCAAGCTTCTAACAACATCTGGGGTGTTTGGATTGGGTTTTCTGTCCTGGATCCCTCTCAATCCTTTCTATTAAAATATATTCATAGTAAAATGAAACAGGGTTTGTCATATCCTATTAGTATACAAATAAATCACCCTACATGTTAACAGATAATTTAGCATCCTCACCATGGTCCAGCAAAATACAAAGAGGCTGTCTGATAAGATAGTCATCCCTTTCAAAGAACTGCATAGCATTTCTTCCCTACTGTTTTGATCTTCTTTGAGAAAATCCCTTTCAGATATCTGTTCATAGAGAGGAGCTCATATTTTCCATCTAGCATACAACAGTAGCCAAGATGGTGTAGATATCACTTTTCCTTTGTTATTCTAGAGCTCTGTTCCTACATACCATGGAACCACACTTACTTAACCACAGCCTTTGAATTATGAAGAATTGACTATATTTGACGAACTGTTGATCATAGCAGCACAAAAGTGGTAAGAGAAAAGGAAAGTGCTTTTTTATTCAGACATTTAAACTGATTTCTCAGTCTTTTTGTTTTACACCCAAAGGATATGCTGTAGGCAAAGAGACAACATGAGCTCATGCTTCAGCACTTCAGTGACAGACAGCTTAAGAAAAACGTAACTAAATAAAATTAGATGATTTCTTGGAGAAAGGAATGGGAATGAGGAACTGTAAATTCTGTTCTTGACCTTGGTAATAATATACTATGTAATCTTGGATGCTTTGTTTCCCCCTACCCTTCCCAAACTATAACTATGGGTATAATAATATCAACATTACATCCCAGTGTAACTTTAAGGTTTAAGTACTTAACATGTGTAACATGCTTTGAGATCCATAAATTAAATGGAATATAACTGGAAAGCATTTTTATATTATCATTATTGCTGTTACTTTCATTACAGCCTGAAATTTAAAAAGTAACCAGGATACTTGCTGAATCCAAAGTAAACTGTTAAAATGTCTATGTAAACACTCCCCCCCCACGCACGCGCGCGCACACACACACACACACACACACACACACACACACACACACACACACACACACACACACACAAAATCATCGCCTATCTAATTCCATCTGAGTTGATTTTTGCTTTACTGGTAAACTGTTTTTAATGCCTAGAGGGAAAAGATCCATGATGATATGTTGGGTACACTGACTTTTATTTTATTCTGCACACAATACTGAGTGCAAATTACCTTTACTAGGATTTTGCCTTTCAAACTTTGAGGGCTGGGAAGCTGTCTGGAATCTCCACTGTTTACAGATGACAAATCCAGTTTGTCTCCAAATATTTCCTTGAGGTACTGAGCAATTTTATTTTGCTGTTGAATACTGCAGTGATTCTCAATTGACAATATCACGGGAAACCTAAATCAAAAACAAAAACTTCAAGTAATTTCATAATAGTTTTTCCATACCCAGCACAATTATCGTGCAGTGTACCAAATCAGACTGTTTTTCATTCAGTTTCCTCTTACATTCTCTGTACCGGCAATTACATTATTAATATAGTATTTTTATCCTATTATAATAATCATGTCTCCATGAAGACAATTCTGTTATTATGCATGAAGACTGACTAACACAGGCCCCAAAACCTTTTACAAATGGTAGGCTGATAATAACACTCCTAATAATAACGCTCCTTGGCCCTAAGGCAAGCCACTGCTTGTGACCTGACCACTGCCACTTCCCTTGTTACTGACTTCCCCATGCTGCCATATGCTGTCAATTCTATAAATATTTGTGATATAGACCAGACCTGAGACAGTAAACTGAATGCAAGGCTGGGAGCCTACATCCCTTTGTGGATCTGGACCTAAATGATTTGTCCAAGATCACATAGGAAATCTATGTGACCAGGAACCCAGGTCTTTCAACCCTAGCCTAGCTCCTTAGCCATCAGAATATCCTTCCTTCCCTTTGGAGGGAATATTTTTAAAAAATCTATAGGTTCATCCCATGGAGTTCTCATTCTTCTCTGTCCCCCTGTCCTTCCATAGATTTTATCATGGTGAAAGCATGATCCAGCTTGTTTTCTTAATTTATCCTGCAGTGCTTACCACAGGCATGAGAGCACAAGGCTTGATTTTAATAAACTTGTGTATGCTCTGCTACCAAGGCACAAAAGGAAAATGATGATTAAAATGTTACCTTTCTTACTTTTGACACGTTGGATATTTTAGTAAGCAGAGCTTAGAAAACTTTGTTCCCTTTCAGACAGAACCTTCATTAGGGGTGTGACTTCCCTGTGTTTCATGACTTAAAAATGAATTAAAATGACCCTACGATTATTTAATGACAATAAGATATACTTAAATTATGTATGTTAAACAAAAATCTATTAACAATATAAAAATACATTTCTGGGTACCAACTGATAGGTTTATCATTATAATTTATTTATACTGTTCAGTGACAAATATGGTACCATAAAAGCAACATATTGGAAAATAATCAAATTTGATTATATTCTCTGCTTTTCGAGGAAGAAATTTACACTGTGATACAATATTCCCATACAAGATTTACCACACAAGACATGCACTCTGATCTATACTCAAAGCCCATGTTGTACTTACTCATTTTTGACAAAAGCATGTTTATTGATAGTTTCCACTACATCTTTGAAGAGAATTTTGGAAGTAAGCGTATAACCATGGTGTACTACTGGCTCTCCGTCTGCACCATCCCAGCAGTCCACTGTCAAAATAAGACCAACATGTTAAAATGTATCCACATTTTTATACATTTTTAAGTTATATATTCATTTTCCTGAAATGGGGAGGGAATGTTCTAAATACTCAAGTAAATCACTCATAATAATCCTCAACAATAGACTAACACTTTCATATGGTATTTTTTAAATATTAATTTCTATAACCTACACAAAACATACTAACCAACAACAAAAGAATGATTTGTATAATATAAATCCTACTGTAACAAATTAACGTTCTGATGAAGTACAATTATTAAGATCTGCAAGCAGAATCAGAAAAAAGACTGGTTCACTTCATAAAAACACTTAGGGGTAGCTCATACTCCATCTGTTAGGTACCTACATACTTAATGCAGTGATTCTCAACCAGGGTGCCATGGCGCCATGGAATTCCTTGAGATCCTTTCAAGGGTGATGCAGGGTGCCACACAAATTTAGTTTTGTTAGGTGGGCAAACATGATTCACAAGATCAACCCAGACACTTCAAATAGGAATCCATAGCATCAAAAGCATTTAGACCTGCTGTGGTCTTCCTGAGTTCTCTGCAACAGAAGAATTGCTCTAGTATTTTCCTGTAGGCAAAAAATGAGTAAAAACTAAGAGCTGGCTTTTTCTGACAGATGCCCTGAGTCTAAAAAGGTTGTGAACCACTGACCTAGTGAAGTCCTAGTTTATCCTGCTTGAAAATCTATTAATAAATAAAGTGGGTGGATTCTCCTTCTCTTTGTTGTTTTTTATGACTCAGACCCCATTTATACATTACACTTAAGATGCGATTAACCAGTTAACCCAGCTACACATTCAAATCAATTAATGGTGAGATAAAAGGAGGAATGAGCTACAAAGTTATTCCACATATTTACAAAAAATGTGCGTTAATTTTATGACTCATTCCTATCACACCATTAATTGAACACCTGGCCAGGAGCCCCTATGGCTGGAGCTCTGTCAGCTGACTGGGACTCCCAGTCAGGGGCCTGTGTGCATCCGATAGCTTGGGAGCTCACCGCTGATGGGAGCACCCCAAGCATCTCCGTGGCTAGAAGACCACCGCTGCCTGGGGTGCCCCCACAGGCTGGGACCTTAGGTTAGCTGATGGGGCTCCCAACCACAGAAGCATGCTACTTTCTCCTGGGATCATGATCCCAGGGTCCCCCTGCACCAGCAGTAGGAATGATGGGATCTGATTTGCAATCCCACAATCACACCACCTACCACACATGTGTGGCATGGCAAGAAATGCAAGTGTGTAGATTGTGAATCGTATCCTAGCTCATCTAGAGAGGTCCTTAGTCTTAACGCTAAGATTACAAGTGGATTACAAAACTAAATGGATTTTCAGGAACTCAAATGAAATGCAATAGGATAACAAATAGGTGCCTGTGGCTGCGGCTACATAAGCAGCTGACTACACAGTTGTTACTACGCAGTCATGACTTTGTAGTAACTGGTGTTACTGCACAGTCCCCTCACTGCACAGTTATTTTGAGCTGCTACTGCACAGTAGCAGTAGCATCAGTGTCACGGTTTGTGCCCAGTGATGCTAAGTCACCATAGCAATGAGCTACAGTGTAGCAGCTCATTGCTGTGGCGACGCAGTGTCTAGTGTAGACGTGCCCTGTGTCTTCTTTGATGACTAATAAGTCAAATAGGATCTAATCGTTAATTATAAGGGCCTGATCCTGTGACAATAATTCATGTTGGTAATCCTACTCTTAACAAATCATCCCATTGTACTCATCAGTAAATATAATTCAGTGAGTTTAATGGGGCCATATATGTGAGTTAAGCTTAGGGTGGGGTGAAGGTCTTCTGCTGACTTCTGTTTATCAAAGATTATTTTATCAATCTGCTTTCAGTTTATCATTATTTTATTATAGAGATATATAAGCTTATTTCTGTTTCAAATCACCCCATTGCATTTAATATAATATACTACCTGGCTATATACTATATTGGCTATTAACATATGTGGAATTTTTTTTCTGAGTAATCACAATTTTTTATTTTGCTACAGAACACTGTAAATCCAAAATATTGATGGGCATTATACTAATTTAAAAACTCATGTAAACAGCATTTTTACATATTTTATTACATGAATGAAACAAGAAAATAAATACAATCATGGAATAGATCATGAGTAAATGATCTATAAGAAAATCAGAAGTACAGCAAAAGCTGTGTTATCTAGCACTTTACCATCTGGAATGCTCTATTAACCAGCATCTGTTATAGACAGCATCTGTTGTTTACAGCAGTGGACCGACGCAGCAAAAGCGAAACCGGAACTCCCACCATGGCACTTCCGGTTTCACCACCATGAGCCAAGCCCCACTTCTTCCTCAAGGACCACGGCCTGGGACAAAGCAGCCTGTGCAGGGTCCCCCTCCTTGTCCCCTGGCCCACTGATGCCAGGGAGTGAAAGCTCTGGCACACCGGACATGACAGTAGTGGCAGCAGCCTGAACAAGTAAAGATGCCTCCAACCTACCAGCTGGAGCTAAGCTCTCAGATAATTGGCATATTTGATGAACCAGCACCCCTCATTCCTCATGGATGCTGGATAACAGAGCTTTTAATGTAACTGATTAAGAACATTTCAAAAAGTTAACAGAGTTATCATATACACATAAATGTCCAGGAAAACCAATTTCACAAGAAATTTCATTTGAAATCGATTTGCATAAAACGTCAAGTTTATAGTACTATTCTGTGTCTTGACAAATAAAGTTTTCTGTAACTTACCAGATCTGTTCATAGTTTTTGTTCAGCTAATCCTAGCTGTAATACATTCCTCGCAAATAACATATATTTAAAAAATATTCTTGGAGTCAACTTCATTATCCAATAGGTAGATACGCTTATTACCATAAAAATCTCTCTGCCTTTTTATAAGTATGTGACGTTAAATGTTATTCCTCATGGTGCACTTACTGACTGACATAAGTAGTCTATCTACTTTTTTTGACAATACTGAATGTTTTATGGAAAGTAAAGAAATGCTCTGTCAAGAGTTTAAAATGAAGAGACTGATCTGAAATATCTCATTCTAGCAAAGCTCTGATTTTAAGAAATAAAAAGGAAAAAGGTACCATATTTTCTTGCATACATTTCCCCCAAAAAAACAGCTGTTGAAAATTACACTTTGCATTAAATGCAAGAAATGTGGCAAGAGCAGTTTGTGTGGTTGCAGAGCAAAAATGAAAGTAAAACCTGCATTCATCTCATAGGGAGGAGAGCAAGGAGCAAGACCAGCTTCCTAGCTGTTGTTACTCAGTTAGTTACTACAAGGAGGGCGTGTCTACATGAGATATTTACTGTGCAGTAAACATCTCAGCATCTACACATGGACCTTATTAGGCTGGAGTAAGCTAATTTACTTGTAAATACAAGTACTATCCTGCTGACTGGGGCACAATGGTAGTTCAGCACAGGGGCTGCCTGCCTGCTAGCCCCACTCTGAAGCTCCTTCCTGCCCCAGCCGAAGATCCTGTCAGCTGGGAAACAGCAATTAGGCACTTTTTTTTAAAGTCCTCAAATCAGGTAAGAATCTTCCCTCCCCCTCTTCTCTGCCCTGCCTCCTTTCCCCCCTTCTCCCCTTCCATTCCTTTCTGCCCTGCCTGCCACTTCCAATGTTGGTGCTATTTCTGGCTGCCCCCAAAGTAAGCTCCAGACCCATTCTAGCTGGGCTATATGGGGAGCCAGGCTCAGCTGAGGAAAACAGCAGTGGCAAGCAGGTTGTCCATCCCTGAATCTGCTCCTGGACTATTGAGGAGCACCCAGAGGATCACGCAGGAAGGAGGAACCCACCTGCTGCTGCCACAGCAAGAGCACCTCTGAGCTCTCCCACCCTTGGGACAACTGGAGACATTGGGGACAGTGGCAACAGTGGGTTGGGGTGAGGGAAGGATGAGAGGAGGAGACATGCCCTGACTTGGGCACTTAAAGTACCCACTTATTGTTCCCCTGGCCTTGACCAAAATGCAGGATACAACTGTGCCACTACACCCACTCTAGATTCCCCCTTGCCTGGTTCCACTGAACTAGCTTCAAGAACCAATATTTTTGTCACTCCTTGTTCCTCTACATTTATTCTTGTTTTTACTGTTCTTTGCAGCTCTCAGCAAAATAAAGAAAATGTTCTTCTTTTAAGAAAATGAGTATATTTAGTTAGTAGATTTCTAAAGCTCTCAACACTTCTAGGTTCAAAATTCTCCTATGTGAAGTTTATATGATAACAACTGGAAGATGTTACCCATCAAATACAAATGCAGTTTCAAAGTTGCATAGAAGTAGCTTCCAATTCTTGCCACTACATTCCACAGAAAGACTATCCTGCCTTTGTTATCAAAGAGCAAGAAACCTGTAACATGATAACTTCTCCAGTCCTTAATACATAAATGTGGCTTAATAAATACCATACCAGAGAAAGGATTTGTTGTTGTTAGTACTACAGGACTCTGAAAAATTAATGGTGCTTTGACTCACTACTGCCTCTGGCCCTGTCAATCTCTTACGTGCATATGCTCCAACTCTCACCACTTCATCTGAATCAAAGGACTGCTTCTACAATAAGCTTAGTGCCTTAATCAGTAATATTTCACCTAATGAAAAAATCCTCCTGCTTGGACACTTCAAAGCAACAGTTGGCACTGAACATGCTGCCTGGCCTCACTATTTGGGTGCCAATGGTGTTAGCAAAATGAGTGAAAGTGGACGTTTGCTCAAGCTATGTTCATGCAATGAGCTATGTATAACAAATCCTCTTTTTCACTTGAATCCTCGACACAAAGTATCTCAGTGCCATCCACATCTGGACACTAGCATCAACTCAGTCTGATTATCACTCCCTTACAAAACTTGTGATATAATCATCATGTGATCCAGAGTGCTGACTGTGATACTGATCATTCATGGGTACGCTCTAACCTAAAGTTGCATCCCAAGAAATTGTACAAGACCAAGAAACTCTCCTTACTATGAATAAATGCCATGTGGCTGAAAGCTGAAGACCCATTGTCTCAATTCATCAAGACTCTCTCTGGAACCCTATTATCTCTGAAGCCATGTAATACTACTGAGGGGAAATGGATTCTTCTCAAAGGAGCCATCTATCAAACTGCCCTGGATTCTTGTGCTGGCTTCCATCACAGCTCAAGCTATTGATTCAATGAGAACTCAACTGAAATAATCCCACTCATAGAAGAGAAACATTTAGCTCTCCTTAAATATAAGTGCAACCCTAGCCACTCTAACTTGCAGGTGCTTTGAGAGATCTGGTAAAAGGTAAAACGTACAGTGAGACGGCATGCAAATGATTATTGGCTACAACTGTGTGAAAGTATCCAAAAAGCTGCTAACCAAGGTGACATGCAAGCAGTGTATGGGGGAATCAGAAAAGCTCCTGGACCTGTTCTGAAGAAGAACGCCCCTTTAAAATCTTCCACAAGCAAAGTCATCAATTACCATAATAAGCAGATGGATCAATGGGTTGAACATTACTCAGAGCTATACTCCCATGAAAATGTGGTCCATGACTCCATTCTTGATGCATTTGAAGTCCTCTCAACCCTGACAATACTTGATCATGAACCTACTGTAGACAAAGCAGAAAAAACCACTGATCAACTTCCTTGTGGTAAAGCCCCAGGTGCAGATTACGTATCAGCTGAAGTTACTAAGCGCGGGAAATCCATCCTCCTCTCCCATCTGTACAAATGAATATGTATGTGTTGGAGCGAATGTGTAATTCCTCAAGACATGAAGGATGCAAGTATAGTCACTCTGTACAAAAACAAAGATGATATGAGTGACTGCAATAAGTATTGTGGTATATCCTTACTTCAGGTCATTGGGAAGCTGTTCACCAAAGTCATCCAGCTAAGACTACAGACCCTTGTGGACAGAGTCTACCCTGAGTCTCAATGTGGTTTCATATCTGGTAGGTCCACAACAGATATGATATTTTCCTTGAGACAGCTACAAGAAAAGTGCCATGAGCAAAGGAAATCTCTGTACATAGCATTTGTTGATCTCACCAAAGCTTTGGATCTTGTCAACAGAAATGGTTTGTTCTGAATCCTGAAGAAGATTGGCTTGCCTCCTAAGCTCCTGAGCATTATCAAGTCCTTCTATGTTGGTATGCAAGGAATGGTGCAGGTTGATGAAATCGAAATCAGGAGTGGTGTAAACCAGGGCTGTGTCCTAGTTCCAAGACTTTTGGGGATTTTCTTTGCTTTGCTACTTAAATATGCATTCAGTAACTCTTCAGAAGGAGTATACCTTTGGACCAGATAAGATGGGAAACTCTTTAACCTTGTTCATCTCAAGGCAAAAATGAAAACCCAAGAAGTTCTTATCCATGAAATGCTCTTTGCAGATGACACAATAATTATTAGTCATTCAGAAGCAGAACTACAAAGTCTCATGGATTGCTTTTCTCATGCTTATGACAATTTTGGTCTGACCATAAGCCTAAAGAAGGAAGTAGTTATGAGTCAACAAGTTGACTGCCCTCCTGAAGTTAAAATAAATTATAAAAGCCTGGAAGCAATTGAAACATTCACTTACTTGGGTCCATCATCTCGCAAAACTTTGGCTTGGAAGCTGAAATTAACACTTACATCAGAAAGCCAAGCAACACCATAGCTAAACTTCAAAAGAGAGTTTGAAAAACAGAGTGCTCACTCTGTCAATTAAGATGTCCATCTGTAGTGCTTGAATACTTAGCTCTATATTGTATGGCAGTGAAACATGGACTCCTTATGCCAAGGAAGAAAGAAAACTAACCAGTTTCCATCTTTAAAGTCTCTGTCATATCCTGGGCATATGGCAAGACAAAATTTCCAACTTCACTGGTCTGGAACAGGCCAAGATACCCATTATGTTCATTGTCCTGAGACAGAGATGCCTCTGTTGGTTAGGCCACATGAATCATATGAGCAATGGATGAATGAATCCCCAACAGCATACTCTACAGTAAACCATCAATTTGGATGGCCCAAACTCCATTTTCTTGATGTCTGCAAGAAAAACCATCACAAGCTGCACATCAGTGGCCGACACTGGGAATGAATCGCCTTGGACTGTTGAGAGTGGAAAGCTGCTGTGAAGCAGGGCCTAAGTCACTTCAAGATGGAGAGGTCAATGATGAGATAGAGAAGAGGCATCAGAGGCAGGCAAGACAAGATGGTACTTGGCATGCCACTGCAAGCTCAACCAAGTTTATATGTGCATACACACATACTAGATGAACAAATATGTGAAAGAAAGGCAGTCTTTGATGCTCACAATGACAGCATATTTTCACAGATACACAGACTGATTTCTTCTGAGCCCACTAAAGTGAGTAGCGGTTTTGCCTTTGATTTCAGAAAAGTATAATCAGATCCATAGCGTGTAAAATGGAATCAGAAAACAAAAATGGTTTTGCTAAGCCATTGTGACATTGTTGATCTACAGCAATTCACTATTACAGCTTCTTCTCTAGAATGCTAATAGGATCTTAAAAATGCTACAGACCTCTTCAATGCTTTTTTGAGACTGGGTGCAAAAACACAGGATGCATTCCAGAGAACCTTAGCACACAGGGAGGCACAATGAGCGGATACAGATGAACTTATGATTCCTATGATATAGTGATTGGTTATTAATTAGTAAACTCCTGAGGACAAATCCTGGTGGCAATAAAATCAAAGGGAATTCTGCCATTGGCTTCAGTGCCAATGGAGGTGTATGTTATATAGCCTATATCACAGACCTAGCAGGAGAAGCCACCAGTGCCTATGCTGTGTGAGTCTGTCTGAGAGGCACACCTCAGTGAACAGATTATCAGCTAATCTTGCTAGCACAAAGTTTATCCATGATATCAAGAGAATGAAGAACAAAGGGACTCAGTCTGCACATACAGTGCCAAACACAGAAGAAATGTCTGTTGGACATAGACAAATGTAACAAACAACACTGACAGTACCTTCAATGCATCGACAGCCATCCTGCAGCACCCGGGCATACATCTCCACTTTGGACTGGGACAAAAGTTGGTCTCCTGTTAGGTATGTGTTGTGAGATGAAGCAATGTAGTAATTACAAAGTGGTTGATCCATATCCTGGTGAACTTCACAATGTAGTGGGTTAAATATGTCACAAGCAGGACTGCGCATGAAATTGGTGAAACCTTTGAACAAAAAATAAACAGTTCTTCAGACTGCAGTGCACCTTAACAGGAAACCTACTAGAAGGACTTACCCCTAACAGTTAATTCTCCCCCTTCAGTATATCAGCATTAACTCACTCTAAACCTGTTGGATCATGCAAGATGAATCCACTGTCCTGGCTAACACTCCTTTGAGTGTATATATGACTATCTAAAGCAGTGGTATTCAACTTATCCAGCCTTTTGGGCCCAATCCCTGGTGCAGGGCTAGTCCACAGACCAGATCCCATGCATGGGGTCAGTCAGCAGGCCTGAGGTGATATGGAGTCAACACATAGGATTGGTTTGTGGGTGCAACCCTGTGTGCTAGCCTGGCTTCACATGCTGGATCCAGCTGCAGAGCATCCCCATGCGCTGGCCTGGCCCTGCATGCTGGCACATGGAGCCATGTTATCTGGCCATGTCATGGATACAGAAATGTGGTGGTGAGGGAGCAGTGGCTGTGTTAACTACTGCAGCTCTGGGCTCTGCTGTGGTAATTAATGCTACCACCGCTTGTCTGCTGTCAAATTCCTGGACATGTGGGGAGTCCTGCAAATCAAAAGAAATAGCTGCCTGCATGTAGGTTGTTACCTACAAAACCTCATGCCTCTCTGAACTAGTTAGCCTCTAAGGTAGGGTCATTCTGCTCTATTTTCTGCCTATCATCAGACTAACATGCCTAACCTCCTCTGTCATAACTCTTTATAGCAGGCTGAAGGCTTGCAGCCTAGAGCAATTAGCTAGCTGGTAACAGGCCACACACCTAAGAGACCACAGCTGGCTCAGTCAATCGGTAAATGAGGTGAATTTGACTGGCTGCTCTGGAAAAAAAGGGGGACAGGAAGAAGTGAAGGAGAGGATCTGGAGGGGGAATTGTTGTGGTAGAGAAGCAGGTTTTTCCAAGGAAGAATGGAGAATACAGGGTGAGAACTAACCCATGTTTGTGGATGTTCACTGTGGACCGTGTACATTTTCCGTTGTGCTCCAGGGTGCAGATTAACCCAGGGCTGAAGCTTATATTTGACTGTTTATATTTTCTACTGAACTCTGTGGCACAGAAGAACCCAGGGCATTATCACTGGTGGTGTGAAGCCCAGAGAGAGATTATAGCTGGGACCATATTACAGGAGTTAGTTCAAGAACTGATTTGAGTCTGGTGGAGTCTGAGGCTAGCCAGGTGGACCGCTACACTCCTGTTGAAGCCCATGGTAGTTTGAACCACTAACAGCAGAGAAGAATAGGTTTCCACTGCCTTCTGTATGCAATACATAGTTACTTCAGAACAATATTGCAAAAACTAAAAATGAAACACATCATAACAGATTGACAAATCCATGCCTTCTAAAACCAGGAGGTTTTACACATCATTGGCTTAGAGATGCTTAAGGGGTATATTAACAAAGAACAGCAAAGACTAAAAATTGGATTCAAGTATAAAATATATAAGCTTAAATAATGAATAACAGGAATATGGAAAGGCTAATAAAAACGCAAATCTGCAATCCCATTTCCCAGCCTATTTTCAGATTGTACATTTCCTTCAGGCCCTTAAGGGGTATACAACAGAAATTTGTGTGTAAAAACTCTGAAACCCTGGAGAGTTTCTTTCTGCCAGATCTGATGCACAGACTTAGGCAAGTATACCCATGCTGTCTCTTGCAGTTCAGTCAGCAAAATCATTCCACTAACAAACAGAGCAGAATAGGTCACCATCTCCTTTAGAGTGTACCAAGCTTCCTTTTTCAGATTATCGGATGACATTATGAAGGACACCTCTGCAAACAATTTGGATGAGACACTGCCCTTAAAATTGGGTCCCTGCCTCCCAATCCTAGCATAGAGGTGACAGTATCTCCTGACTCTTTATAAGGTGTTTGCATGTGGTAGGAGAAATATTAGTTGCCGCTACAGCATTATCCCTCTTTCACTCAGATGCTGCTGAATGTTCTGGCAGGTGTAAGACCCATTTGGAGGAGTGGGGGATGGCTTAGGTGAATTAAAGGGAGGGATCTTTTAGATGCACAATTCCTGACAGCCTCATTTCAGGGGTATACAAAAATCTCACTGATGACCCAGTGTACATTACAGAAAAAAGTTATGTAGTTTGGGGCAGTATTAACTGTTTACATCATCACTGAAATCTCTCTTAAAGTGAGATTTAGAAACAGCAGACAGAGAAATCCCCTGTAGTTGCAAGAACTTGAGGAAGGGGTACAAAGGCATAGAACTTGCAAAAGGGTATTCCTGGCACCCCAGAGATCCCCAGGACTTTGTACTGGTAAGGCTTCCCCTGTGGGAACCCTCACCCATGGTAGAGCCTTAGAATTGTTCCAGTAGATAGCAACAACCAGGAAGCTACCCAAATCCAACCCTGGCATAAGTGGAGACAAATACTACTAAAATTAATGAGAGGTCTGACTGTTTATGCCAGGCACAGATTTGGCTCCTGGGTCTCTACCTTGCCATTGACTCTGATCTCATGACACCTGATGAAGAATGTCTTTCACTCAAAAGCTTGTCTAACTTTATCCAAATGACATAGTTGGTCTAATAAAACATCACCCTAAGAAAACCTTGTTTCTCGCATAATTTCTGGACCATCAGGGCTATAACATTGCTTGTATACTCATTTATGTTATTCATTTTAAAATTCTCTGATTTGCTATTTGATACTGAACCAATCAAGAATAACTGAAGTTAGACTGGGAATAAGTCTCCAGGGGAGTCACCAAACAAAAGCCCTACTTAGGCAGTTTTTTCAGTTTGGGAAGCAGTGTGCATACCATAGGCACAGTGTGTCCTGATACAAAGCTCCCTGGTGCCATATTTTGATTCAGTCATACCCTGGAATGACTGCAGTGTATATTTAGTGCCCACCTCTCCCCCTTGGTATGGATCTACACCAGTAAAAATGAAACAAGAATCAGGGACAGTGCATTTAAATAAATATCTGCCTCCAGAACACGGAATTTAAAATGTTTTGAAGTGTCTCAGTAAACTATTCAGACCCTCAACATAATTAAAATGAGAGGGGAGAGTTATGAAACCTAATGGGAATAGAAATGTTTTCAGGAATGTTTAAAATGTAACGGCATATTTCTTTTCCTAATTCTGGCCAAAGTAAATTAACTCCAGGCCACACAAAGGAGCTTGTGGCAGAAACATAAACCCAGGTCTCTGGCTTGCTACTGTTGTGCTGTTACAGGAAAATGATTCTTTTCTCTACAGAATCCAACAAGAAAGTTAATCTGATTCATTAAAGTTATCTTCTAGGCATGTTAACAGACCATAGAACTTCATTTATTTCAATCTAATTTGTGAAAGCATCCAAATTTGAATTTGGTATTAAGCTGGTTTCAGAATTAATACACCACCTTCAGCCTCATGTTTGTGAATGAAATAAATCAGTACTAAAGTCCATAAGAAACCCACAGGCCTAATTCTGTTCTATGTCTAATGTAAATAAATATAAATCAAGGAACTGTCAGGTAGTATATATGGATTTATACAAATGTAATTGATAGCAGAATTTACATTTTTTTCAGCAAAAACAGGATACAGTATATAAAGCACAGTTAATATTTGTGCTTTAAAACTAGATGATTAGTAAGAAGCATTTATACAAGTTGTATGGAATTTCAAGAGAGTGTGATTGTGAATACGACTTGTTATTATAGAATAGTATCTGGTGATACAGTATTAGTCTAGTACTTCAGCCTGTCTGTAGTCTCTTTTTCCCCTAACTTATTAAAATACATCAGACATTACTGGTAGGTATCTTTTATGTCAGTCCTCTATTGTAGTCATTAATCATCACAAGCTACATCAAATAAAATGCTATAGAACTTTTCTAGTGTCCTACAACAGGGAAAGCAACACAAATATATGAAGAATCACAAAGACTTTACCTTCTATCCCCAAAACATTTTGCTCCTTGTTTTCTTCTGAAACTTCAAACTTCCTTATGATGTCAAGGCAATAATCTGTTGTCACATTATTCATCTGCACAAAAATGACAGTATTGGTGTACATATTTTTTCTAGTATGTGACCAACATGTCAAAATATACTTCAGGCCCCTGTATCTGGTTGAAAGTCTTGTGATCAAATACTGAGTTCAGTCAGCCATGAATAAGACTGTCAGTAACACTATTCTAAAATGACCTTTCAAAATTTGGATCTTTTTTAACTCTCCACAAGTTGCATGCTTTGTATCTTTTAACTTTAAGAAGGAACACGGTAAGAATAAGAACTCTAAAATTATATTGGTTGGTCTGAAGAGCTGAAAATTACCTGAAAGACAGTCATCAATAACAGTTCAAGTTTTAAAAGCATATTACTAAGCATGAATAATGGATTGAATCTGGTATTCCTTCAAATAATTTACAAAAGAAAGGGATCCATGGAACCTGATTTTTGTCTCACATTTGTGTTCCATGGCTGTGACTCCATTGCCGTCATCAGTTACCCATGATATATAAGAGATGAGACAGAAGAACCAGATGCAGAGGTGAAATATTGACTCCACTAAAGTCAACAAGAGTCATGATACTGATTTTATTTTAGCTAGGATTGAAATCAATGACACAACTCCCACTGATTTGAATAGGATTTCAACTCAAATATCTATGTATTCAGCAAAGTTAATAAGAATAAATAGTTTTTATACTCCTACTGCAAATTGAACAGAACTAAAGCAAAAAAAAGTTCTGGTTAGGCACATTTTTCACCAGAAATGTCAAAGGCTTTATGGCAATAAAGATGGCATTAATAATATTTGCATCTCATTTTTATTATAAAGTTCCTCATTCTTCACTGAAGTCAGTTTAAACACAGGATTTATACACAGCTGCAAATTAAGAAATAAATCAAACTTGAAGCAAAGGAATCCAGGAAGATTTATGTTCTAATTCTCAAATTATACATAGTTCATATTAAATATGATTGCTCCAGGCAGCGGCAGCAGTACAGATTATTCAGCATTGTGCATTCTGCTACGCTTACTGTTCAGACTCTAAGAAATACTCCCTAGGTGACTTGTGGTTTTCCTTTTCACTGACTTGAGGCTTTTTTTTTTTTTTTTTTTAGCTGACATGCCCATTTCCATAAACTTCACTCTTTGTATGGCCTGATCATCTCCACTTTTTCTAGAGTTTATCAAGGCTACACTTTAATTCTCATCTCTGTGGAGACCCTTTGAAGTAGGTTGATCCCCTAAAGCTGAGTGTTTTGGTAAGAACTTGATAGTGTTGTGTGATGATGAGAAACTTCCTGAAAGACAGTGCATGCACTCACTCCGACTGAACATATCTCAAGTAGCATTAGCAACTCAAGGCTAGGGCCAGACATTAAAAAAGCCTGAGCCTGAATTGATTCAATCTTTGTAGGTTAGTCTAACCTGGCAGGCTAAATCACTTTCTAATTGTACAGACATCCCAGACATGCAGGCACATGCCTGCAGTGGCTCAGGCTAGAAGCCAGTGAGTGCTAGAGTAGGCCTCCCTTCCCTTGCACAGGACTGAGCTGGGGGGGAGGGATCTATTCCCAGGCAGGCAGCGCGGTGGCAAGGGCAGGCAGACCCAGCAGCCAGTGAGGGTAGTGGGGAAACCAACTCTCCTCCCTGCCCCTTTCTGCCTCAGGGGCCATGGTGCCCCCCCGCTGCAGCAGTGATGAGGGAGTGCCTGGCAGACCCCGCTCAGGTCCCTGCTGGTGGGATAGAGAGGGGGGAATTAAACCCTTCTCTGGCCAGTTCAGCCCAGACTGGCCAGCCCCCCAGCACAGTGTCCCTGCAGCTAAGGGTGCACTATAGCACCCACCAGCCCCTTGCCTGAGCAACTGTAGGCATGTGCTCACAGTTCCTAGTTTCATAGTTGGTCAGAAGGGACCTGAGCAGATCATCAAATCCGACCCCCTGCCATGGGTAGGAAAGAGTACTGGGGTCAAACGACTCCGGCTAGGTGATTATCTAGCCTCCTTTTGAAGACCCCCAGGGTAGGAGTGAGCACCACTTCCCTTGGAAGTTGGTTCCAGATCCCAGCCACCCTGATCATGAAGTAGCCCTTCCTGATGTCTAGTCTGAACCTATTCTCATTCAACTTATGGCCATCATTCCTCGTTACTCCTGGTGGTGCTCAGGGGAACAGAGACTCTCCTGTTCCCCGCTGGTCCCCCTTGGTAAGTTTAGAGATGGCCACCAGGTCCCCTCTCAGCCTTCTTTTGTGGAGGCTGAACAGGTTCAGGTCCTGTAGCCTCCACTCATAGGGCCTGCCCTGCTGCCCCCTGATCATGCAAGTGGCTCTCCTCTGGACCCTCTTGATGCTGTCCACATCCCTCCTGAAGTGCAGCGCCCAGAACTGGACACAGTACTCCAACTGCAGCCTGACCAGTGTCACACAGAGGGGGAGGATCACCTCCTTGGACCTGCTCGTGATGCATCTGTGGATGGATGACAAGGTGCAGTTAGCCTTACTGACCACGTCCTCACACTGGCGGCCCGTGTTCATCTTTGAATCAATAATGACTCCAAGTTCCTTTTCTGTCTGCACTGACGAGAAGGGAGTTCCCCAGCCTGTAGGTATGCTGCTGGTTCTTCCTCCCCAGGTGCAGCACCTTGCACTTGTCAGTATTGAATCCCATCCTATTCTCATCCACCCACCCCTGTAACCTGTCCAGATCTAGTTGTAGTCTGTCGCTCCCTTCTATTGTGTCCACTTCTCCTCACACCTTAGTGTCATCCACAAATTTGAACAAGGTGTTTTTCACCCCCTCATCCAAGTTGCTGATGAAGAGGTTGAACAGTGCAGGCCCGAGGACCGAGCCCTGGGGGACCCCACTGCCGACATCCCTCCAGGTCGAAAAAGACCCATCCACCACCACTCTCTGGGTGCGGCCCTCCAGCCAATTTGTGACCCATCTGACTGTGTAGGTATCAATGCCACAGTTGCATAATTTTTTAATGAGAATGGGGTAAGAGACAGTGTTGAAGGTCTTCCTAAAGTCCAGAAAGACTACGTCGACCGCAATATCTGCATTCAAGTATTTTGTGACCCGGTAGTAGAAGGCCACCAGGTTGGTCTGACAGGACCTTCCTCAGTCCAGAGAGATTGTTTGTTTTGTTACAAACCAGTTCAGCCTATGCAGGTTAGTCTACCTGCAAAGGTTGAATTGATTCAGGTTCTGGCTTTTTGAATGTCTGTCCCTAGCCCCTATGTCCTTAGACTAACGTGGCTACAACCAACAACCCTCTATCAGGTTGTTTCCTTCTTTGTTCCCTGGACTTCCCTGTAAAACCACTCCACTGTGACTGAAAACTGCATTATGACTTTAAGAGCAGCATGTGTTCTGCTTAGCATTAGGAAGCTTCATGCCAATATTCTTCTGTGACTGGGAAGAGATACCTTCATCACTACCACAATCACTACATCAGGACTTTTGTTCACTGAAAACAACACTGGACTTTTTACTACTTCTGACCTCAACACATTGCAGAGAAATTCATATACCACCCACATTTCTAAGTCTCAAGAGATATACCACAAGGCTCAGGAGTCTTCACTGCTGTGCAGCTTTCCTAGTTTCTACCCAAGCAAAAGATACATACCAGTTATTTTGCATCATGTTGCTTCATGTGGGAAAATAAAGTTAAAGATCTGCAATAAAGATGGGCAGTAAAGTGTTCACATCATGATGTGTCAAAGTAAAGAAAAAAGACATCAAAGCCTAATCTAGGTACTAACCCTAAATGTGCATTGGATGATTTAGGGTGCTGCATGTCATTAGCAATATCCCCATTTGTCATTTCTGTTGGTGCCAATTCAGAAAGCACTTATGCAACCACATTCAGGGAAGTTCTTAAGTACATACTCAAATTCAACTAATTCAATTTAAGTGCTATCCTGAAACTGGATACTTTTATAAACAAGGAGGTATGTTTGTATGATATCAGCACCTAGGGACCCAATCAGGATCAAATCCAGTTGTGCTAGGTGCTGTAAAAACTCAGAATAAAAGGCAGTCCCTTGCACTGAACACAGCGCAGTCTTAATAGACAAAATAGACAGCCACAGACAGATGCAACCTAATAGCCAAACAAACTGTATGCAATACACATTGAACTCATTAGTTACATTCCTCTCACCTGCCACTCAGATTTATTTTATTTTTGCCATTTTCCCAAAGCCAACTGCCTACTTTATCATAAAATTCCATTGACAGATCAGGTTCTCATTGATATAAGGGAACTATTATCAGAGATGCTTCAACCAACCTCCTCAGCCCTCAGCTGTCTCCAGAACACTCTGAAAACGAATGCTGAAACCCAGCAGGTAAAATTATTAGAGAGGGATACCGGCTGAAATTCTCACTTTCTCATCCATCAACATCAGTCCTTTGTGAGAGCGAGTAGTGACTGAGAACCTATTAGGTTGCAGCAGAAGATTAAGATTGTCTGACCACGTGATTACAGTTTATTCAGATTCTCTGCACTGTGATGCACTGTACATCATTAACCTGGCTTCAACAATCATATGCATGTTTTTTCCTTTCTCTTTATTAGTTTTGGGTAAGCATTCAGTATTCTACAAGCAGCACATACTAAATGTCCTCCCTTAAGTAATTTACTGAGGCACGTATTACAAGTTATACAGCTAGTTATACAAAATGAACACAATTGGCAAATGTTGATCCAAAAAATTCAAATATTCTTAAAATGCAAGCTTATTAGACAGCATTCATTTCAGCTCTATGACTATTACCCTTCTCCTTATTACATGGATTGGCTCATATTCTAAAACATTCTCCTCATCTATTATATAGTCTAATCTTTTCTTAACAGATCCTTCTGGTCCAGCCCTGTACTCTCCAGTTTGTTAGAGAGAATCCCATGGGAGACAGAGTCAAAGGCTTTACTAAAGTCTAAGTAGATGACATCAACCTCATGTCCCTTATCCAGATGGTTAGTGACCTGGACACAAGATTCATCAGGCATAGCCTGCCCTCAATAAA